AATAATTTCATTTAACATTTCCAATAAAAATTTATTGAAATGCTTTTATAATCTTTTCATACTGTGTTCAAACTTCAATCCGTATTTTATCCTATACTACATGTCAATAAGGATTAGCCTCATTTCCAATGCTCAATAACCACACATATACAATGTCTCCCCAGGAGACAAACAGCACAGGTACAAAGAGCATCATTAAATCCCCAGGAACACATCACCCAGCTTCAGTTAATCATCAAATCACAGACAGCCTAGTTCCCTCTAAACTTTCTCCCCACCCAGAGATTATTTTGCACCAAATCCTAAAAATCATAGCATTTCACAAATATTCAAATTTCCTTAATTATCTTTTTTTTAAGAGTTGATATATTCAATTTGGGATCCAAGCAATCAACTTCCCTTAATGACAAGATTTATAGCTGAGGATGTGGCAGTGATAGAACACATGCTTTGTGTGCCCAACGCCCTGGTTTGATCCCTGCCACAAGAAAAAATCCCTTTTTGATGACCCCCCCCAACATAAAATGAGTTATCAGTAAAGTATTTTATATATTCAGATGTTTATGATACATCTATATTGTGTCAGGCACTGTTCTAGCCCCAAGACACTTAGTGAACCATACTCAAAGAAACTTCCAGCTTGGTCCTGACTGCACATCAGGAGTGGTCAGGAAAGCTTTAAAAAGCAACACTAGTTTCACCAACTGACTAATGGATAAATGTAACATGGCATGCGCATACAGTAGAGGATTATAAAGCAATAAAAAAGAACAAAATACTAGTTCCCACCACAACAGGGATGAACTTTGAAAACAACTTGCTAAGTGAAAGAACCCAGATGGGCTGTATATTGTATGACTTTAAAGCAGGGTAATAAAATGCTCTAAAATTAATTATAATGATTGCACCATTCTGAATGCACTAAAAGCTACTATACTGTGTATTTTAAAAGGGTGAGCTGTATGATATATGAATTATATCTCATCACAGCTGTTACTTAAAAAAGAAGTAGCTGAATCAAGTGTACTACATTTATACAATGGAATACTACCCAGTTATAACACAGAATGAGAAAACTCCTTTTAGAAAAATGTGTCGCCAACCCTCTTCACACCAAGCTATTTCTGTGATCCAGAAACATTGAGAGCGTGGCCTGGGTAGGCCCTAGGTAACGCTACAGTAAACCAATGAAGAAACTGGTTTAGGGCAAGATTGAGACAAGTAACCAACACTGATACAACAATTTTAATATATTTTCAATAATAATGGCATTACCATTGATACAAAATAGTGCATATCATATGTAAGATATCTATTCTACAAAGTTATGCATAATAAGTAATCTGTGAATCCACAGTATTCTTTATGGTGCAGAGGTCAGGGCAACCAGAATAGTTTTTCCATGAATTTAAGGGATTCTATTACTTCCTCATAAATTGACGAAGGTACTAAAGTACTGTGCATCAAACTAAATGTGGATCAGAAAAATAACATTCCAACTACTTAACAGAATGCAGCAAAATATAATTGTTTAATTCCGTTTAATTGAGTACCTGCTATGGAGAGGACACCAGGCTTAATGATGAAAGGGATAGAAACATAAGGAATATACACTCACCCTGCCTGCAGGACATTTCAAATCTAGGCAGGGGTAAAACATGTGAATAAATAACAAGGCCAGAAAGCAGTAGGATGATGGAAAGACTGCGGGGAGCAACAAAAGGCACAGAGTGCTGAGGAAGAAAAGAAACCAACATCATAGTCAATGCTCAGTAATGGAACTGGAGACTCATTTTCTAAAAATGCTCTGAGAGTTTAATTTCAGAAGGATTGTGCTGGTACATGTAGCGTACGAGTTCAGAGTTAGGTTTTCACAGGCAGAGGCACTGAGAGAGCTTTCTAAGCAACAAGGTGCATGGACAAAAGAAAAATGCTTTGGTGATGAATGACATACAGACTACAAGCACACAGAGTTGGGGAATGGTAGAGTGAAGGTCAAGGCTGAGCTCAGGCTGCTGAATCCTGATTTTGGGCTAAGAGGTCTATACTTAAATGAGCAGAAAAAAAGGATGAGTTGAGTCTTAGCTATATTTACTAGAGTGCAAAGTAGACCTGAACTTAACTTCTTCTGGCCTCATACGGAGATTGAAGGTACAATAACAGCACCTACTTAGATGTTGCTCTCAAGACTGAATGAAATAGTGCATGGACAGCACTTATAACAACAGCCGGCACACAGAAGCAGTTACTAATATTTATGCTCAGTATATAAGACACCCAAGACTTTTTAACAATATAATGATAGTACTTAAACTATTCATGGTTTAACTAAGATATTGCCGGGGTTACAGCAAAGAATACACATGAAATACATCTAGATGAGAGCACTGTCTCCAGTGACACGGAAAGACATGAAAGAAGTTGCCAAGAGAGCGGGCCAGAAAGCTGGTGAATAACTAGATTTAGATAGGAAATGAACTTGCAGGAAACCATAGACAACTCTCAATTATTCATGGAAGGCTTTTTCAACTTAATAGCTTTCAGCTTCTCCAGTGTCCTGCACTCCTGCATTCTACTCCAGCCCTCCCTGGAGCACCCCTGAAATGGAAAGGACAATTAAGGAAATGCAGTACTGTAAAGAAGCACATTAGAAACAAATCTGTAGACTATCCAGTTCCTCAAGCAGGGAAAAAAAAAAAACATCACACTATCTCCAAAAGTGGAATGTGGTAGAAAAAAAAATCTCTAATAACTTCCCCACTCACTCTTTTGCCATTAGCCCATTAGGCAGTGATCGTGCCATGCTTTCCCAACTGCTCTTCACCTTTAGTTCAAGTGGGGAAAGACATGAAATGTCATTATTTCACCAAAAGTTTGCTGCAGCACTTTTTAGAATTAACAGTTTCTCCATACGGGAACACAGAGACTGGTTTTCCAGCACTTTTCTTAGGTGGTATAAAGCAGCATTGTTCAAAGTTCATTTACCATAATGGGTAAAACCAATCTGATCTTCTTTTTAGATTTAGTGAAATGAAGATTTCCTTCCTCCCTTATTAAAAGCCTCCAAATCTACCAGACCCACAAACACTCAACCACAAAAATTAATGGCAGTAAGCCTCAACAATTCAGAAACCAGAACACATAGACATGTGATAATGGCATCAGAAAGTTTACAGCCAATTATTGCCCTCTGATTAACATGTTTGGAAATTTTGTTATAGTTTTTTTTTTTTTTTGCTTTTTATCCTTGGAGAAAAAAAGTTTACAGCCCAAGCTCAGACAATTCACTTGGGTCTATCATTATGTGTTAATATGTAATTAAATACTGGGGTAAGAGATGTTAAGAGGGTAGTTAGAAAAACTAATAAAATCTAGCTCAGCAATTTAAAATTGGCCTTGGGCAAATTCCTGAACCCTGCATTAATTACTTCACCTGAGAAATGAAGATAATATAGTAACACCACTGCCTATCAAGATGGTAAAGGTTATGTGATAATGTAGCCTATGGCAGCCTGATAGAATCTGGTCTGTAACATAACTATTAGCTATTATTGAACATGTAGCTCAATAATAAAACAACGTATCTTTTGGCTGAGCAAGAGCTTTGTTACAAATAAATATCTAACTATCAATTGGCTGTAATGGCAGAAACCATATTTTACTTGGCCCAGTACAACGAAGGGAAAATGGACTGGAATCCTAGACCTAGCAGAATAACTTTGAGAAAACTGGTTAGTCTGCTGGAGTCCTAATCTATCTGGTTAAAAATACCAACTTAAAAAGACCACTGAAATGTTTAATGAGGTAATCTATACAAGGCTCCTAGCACACATCACAGTGGTTAGTAGGTGCTCATCGGTGGTAGTTATCACTATTCATTAATTTTCCTGATCTGAAAAAAAGATAAAGATGAAAATTAAAACCAGCTACAAAAATCACCATTCTTCATATTTACAATTTTCATTTATTCATTCCATAAATGTGTATTGCAAACCTATCATGTGTCAGGCAGTGTTCATACCTTGAGAATCTTCTAAGTGATGAACAAGACCAAGCAAGTTGTTGTTCTCCTGGAATTTACATTTTTAGTAGGAGAATGCAGATAGTGAATAAACCGAGATTACTTCAGGGAGAAACAAGTGCTGTGATGAACAGCAAAGTGTGGTGTGGAGGTGGCCTGCCTGACCGGTCCCCACTGGCCAGAAAGGGGACCTTACCTTGTATGACACTTGGAGGAAGAAGCCTTTACCTGTTTCTGGAAGGGTCTGTCTTGCAGTTACAGGTTAGAATAAGATATTTCTATATGCCTCCATCCCAGTAATCACAACCTGAGGGCCAGAGCGACATCTGTGAGGATTCCAGCGCCTCAAGACAGTTTCCAGGCCAACAGCCCTCTCAGTAGCAAGAATCAGGGCGGCACGCCCTATTTTAAGAAGTATAAGGAAGACTTGGGTAATGCTCTCAGCGAGTCCTGAGGCTGCAAACGCTCCCCGGGGACCCCGAGGACCCCAGCCCAGGCGCCCCGGAGCGAGCAGACAGGCGTGGGGACGCAGGCAAGCGCGCACAGCCAAGCCGAGCGTCGCTGGGGTCCGCCTGCCGCGCCCCACCCGAGGATGTGGTGAAGCCGCCTGCCCAGCCCCAGTAAGCGGGTTTCCTGCGCGTCCGACCTGGCGGGGCGCTCGCGGCTGACGGGGACAGCTCCGCGGCGTCGCATCTGGAGCGCCAGCGCCTCAGTCCCTGAGCCGTGCAGCTCGCCGTCCACCTTGGCCAAGCTGCCCCTCGAGGGACCCGACGTCGGGGGGCGGGCAGCACCCGGTCTTCCTCCCCGAGCTCGAACGGACAGCAAGGGTGCGCTCCCCGGCTCGGCGCTGCCCCAGCGACCTGCTCCTTCTCGGACCACAGGGACGGCAGCGCCCCCGCCCCCAAAACCGCCCTTCGATCCCGTCGCTGCCGGGGTCCCCCGCGCCTCCGCACCTCCGGGGGGGCGCCCCGATGCTTACCTGCGCGCCCCGCCTCCAGGGACGCAGCCCAGGTCCCAGCGCCGGCTCCCGGCTTCGCTCTGCCGGGGAAAGAGGCGACGCCGGCTCCTCCCGCCCTGCTGAGCGCACAGCAGACAGTCCCCGCTCCACAGAGGCAGCGCGGCGCGGGCCGCCGGGCGCGGACGGACGAAGGGGCCGGCGCTCCCGCTGCGCGCTGGCCGCCTGGCGCGAGGTCTCCTGTGTGGGCTGGCTCTGAGGCGCCGCGACAGCGCGACCGGTTCCAGTACTTTGCCCACAACTTCGCGCGCTCAGCCCGGCGATTAGCAGGGGCAGCGGGACGAGGGGCGGGGCGGGGGAGGAGCCTATGGGCGGGGTGGGGCCACGTGGAGAGGGGCGCGGAGCGACCGCCACTCCCACCAATCAGGAGGCGAGCCTGGAAAGGAGGTGGGGCGATGTCCTGAGAAGACGCGGGCGGGTTTAGTGCAGTCCGGGCACTGTAGGGACCTAAGTTCGGGACGCGTAGGAAGGTTAGAGGTGAGAGCCATAGGGAGGCTGGGCGTGGGGCATTCGGGGGGCCAGCCTGCGCCAGGAAAGGGAAAAATGAGAGTGGCACGGGAGGGGCTACTTTAAGAAGGTTCTAAGAAACACTTGTAGCCGAACCAGGCCAGGTGATCTTGGCCTCTTGGAAAAGTCAGACTGCTGTAGGGAGATGTAGAATAGGAAAGACACATGATGAGGGAAAACTGTTAGGACGCGATGTCGAGGAACAGAATTGGTGTAGGCCTCTCAGGAACCTGTCGTGCAGATTCGTACCCGGGCTGCAATCCCGTATGAGGGGCGGGGGATGGAGGGCAGAGCGGGGGACGGGTACTGTAGTTGCAGTTAAAATACAGAAACTTCTGAGTAGACCCAGAGGTCCGTCCCACTTGCCTGCCCACTAGCTCCTCCGGCCTTCTTTGAGGCTTCATACTTAGACTGAATGCAAACCACTGATAGTTTAGGGTCATCTTAGTAACCGGAAATGCGTTGGGTGCAGCAGTGGGAAGAGGATGAGCACTTGCTGCGTACTTTCTGAGCCTCTTTCCGCGGCTTTGCCCCAGCATTTCATCGGCTGAGGCCCAGTGTCTGGCCTGTCTGCTTTGGCTCTGGCAAGCCGCTGGCAAGGGCAGAGGATCCTGAGATGTCACAAAACAAACCGATTGTCATGCTGACCAGACTGTCCTGCAAAGAACTATGTTGAAGCTTGCAAGCTGAATGACTTAGAAGTTCCCAAGTCACACCACACACAACACACACACAACACACACACACGCACACCAGTGTGTAGCAGTCATACAAACCATTCATGCTGAATTCAAAGAGGCACCTCACCCAGGCCATCCCAGGCCTACACACTTTGTTTACCGACCTTTCCTTCTATTTTCATTAATTTCTCTAAGAGGCTCGCTCTCTCCTTCCCATCTTCACCCCAACTGAAGCTATTTTGCATCTTTCTTTTCTCTAGCTCCACTCCACCATCACCCTATTTTGTCAGCAATAGTTTTTTCTGCAGAAGACAGGTCTTAAATCGGACAAGAATCATTTGCGTGGGACCTTATTATTTTGCAGCACTGGGACCTGAGCCCAGGGGCACTCCACCACTAAGCTACATGAGACAAATTTTTATATTTTACTTTGAGACAAATTCTCCGTAAATTGTTCAGGCAAGGCTCTAAATTGTCATTCTCCTGCCTCAACCTCCAGAGTAGCTGGGCTTACAGCGCCTTATTGTTTAAACTAACATCCTGCCTTGGCTTTTTCTTGTTTCTTCCAAATACCGTGTGTGTGTGTGTGTGTGTGTGTGTGTGTGTGTGTTCTTCTTATTACATGAGGCTGTTAACTGGACAGGATGAGAGTTATTCACATTCACATTGTGCCTTGCCTTCAAGAAAAAGAGGAATTTTACTGTGTCTTTTCATAGTTTCATTTCCTCTTCTAAAAAAGCTTCCAGGCTCTCCTACAATCAAATGGGAAAAAGTGAGAACCCACACAGAGCTAATTATTCTTCAAAAGACTTGTTAATGTCCTAAAATTAGCTTTCTCCTCAGAGTTTTATTTTAAAGAAACAATCTGAATGTCTACTAGAGGAAGAGCAGCGATTCCATAGTAAGAATTTCTAGAGCTCCTCTTCTTTGAACTGTTGAAATAATGTTTATCTTCATAACACGCCCACATGGTAGGAATTTTTTGCAGTGGCTCTTTGTTTTTAATTTCTGAAATTCCACATAGGTGAGTGTTTTGATAGTAAAAGAAGTTGGGTGTAGTGGAGTGAGGGTAGAGAATTCTGCAGGGCCCTAGAATCTAACTATATGACTTCCTGTCTTGATATGACTGCTTGTTGATTCTGAAATCAGGATCACCTTTTCTAATGTAAAAATGGAGATAATAATTGTACCCACTGGGCTGCAGGAGTTTGATCATCTCTCTGAAAACAACTGCCCTAGAGCCTAACACTGAGTTCTCAGCCTCAGCACTACTGAGAGCTGGAAGCAGATCACTCTGTGTTGTGATTGGCTATCGTGCAGGTTCAGCCACATTTCTGCCGCCTGCCCACCATAGACAAAGAATATTCTCTCGTCCCTAACTGTAGCACCCTCCAGACTTTTGTCCTCTGAAGGACAGAATTCATCTTGGCTTTAAACTACTAACCTATCACATAGCAAATACCCAAAAATTAGTGTCATGAAGTACTTAAGATATGGATTTCTAGAGTGTGCCACTCAGCCAAATTTCACTTTCTTTAACCTCATCAGTAAATAGAATCATGGTAATGCCAACTTCTTAAAATTGTCTCAAGAATAAACACAACTGTGTAAAAGTAATTTGTCAGTGCCTGGTACATAGTAAGTTTAAACATGAGCTTTATTCTCTTTTTTGTCCTATGAAGGAAAAGAATTGAGCCAGATGAAGGATAGCATAGCGTGGCTTATTTGTTGCTACTTGTTCTTTGCCTCATAGCAGAAAACTTACTGAGTCAAGGCTCGCTTTCTCACTGAGTTCAAACAGGGCTGCAGAACCGTTCTTAACATTGAGCTCCAGAAAGCCACTTCCGTAGATCTGTAAGAGAATGGTGAAGTGCCATTTCAGGACTGCGGGACCTAGTCCCCTCAGAATATTCTAGAACTGTGATTATAAATGAAAAAGAACTATAGTTCATCACTTCACTGACCCCTTTTATGGGCAAGTGGAGAGCCAAAGCCTAGAAACCTCCAACATCTTGTGCATGAGCATAATCATACAGCCCAGAGGTTGGATCTCCTTCCTTCTAAGCAGCCATTTTTATGCCATATCCATTGCCTTAGGGAAGTAGAGAAAACATTTGTCTGGAGCATTGCCACCCTTCCAAACCTGTACACTCCCACTCGTCTCCCTCTGCTTTTAGCTAGGAAAAGGAATCCAACTATTCTGTAGCATAGGAGCAACCTTGTAGCAGTCTTTTAAAAGCGTTAGCTCATGACAAGGACTGTGAGAGAATTCATCAGTTCCTTGATTAAATGTAAATTAACCACCACCTCTGTGTGGGAGACCATTCTTAGCAGGCACTTTAAAAGGCATAAAGATGATTTAGGTCATCTGACCTAGGATTTAGGTCAGTGGTAGAGTGCAAGGTGAGCAAAGGCGCTGGGTTTGGTCCTTAGCACCAAAAAGAAGATAAAAAGATGAATCAGTAACTATTCCTGCCTTCACTGCTTTTGCAGTTTTGTCTATGGGCTTGATCAAACGTGGTTATAAATAACTACAGTACAAGCTAAAAAATGGAAATGTCCTATGAATGGTACCAAAAATATTTCAGAAAAGAGAGAAATTATTTTAAGAATTCAGAGCAAAGACTCACTTCCTGCATGTTGTGTTGACATTTTTAACTTTTGATCAAAAATGTGTATTTATTACAGTATACCCTTATACAGGAAGTTGGCACATTGTTAGGTTTCCGAGTTCAGATACAGTTCCTGCTTAATGTAAATAGATGGTATCATTGCAACAAAAAACTGCAGCTCATTTTAATTCTAAGTGAGTCATTTTTTTATCAGATGTTTAGTATTTCTAGGATGTTCTAGATTGGTCACCTTTATGGTTTATGTGCAGGAACTACCAAACTGGGCTGCTAAGGTTGCTGCTGCTTCTACCCTATCAGGAGTCTGTCTGTTAAATCACAAAAAATTAGCAGAACTGACAGTACTATATCAACAAAATGTATACCTTGAATCCTGTTACTCTGCTGTACATTTCCAAATTTGTGTTTTGCATAAATGCATCTGACCAGTACATTCTAGACTATATCCGTCAGTCTTGCAAACAAGGTTGATTTTCAGCAAATCAAGCTGCAAATCTGGCTGCAGTTCTTATCTTTTTAGCCTCTCTGCTGCAGGAAAGAACACTAAGAGAAGCTGGGTTAGAAGTGGAGCTAGCCAAGCCACAGTACCTACCATATCTCTTCCTCCAATTCTCCAACAAATATTTTGGCAGAAAAAGATTGTATATATCTGGCTTTGGGGTGTTTCAATTTTATGGAATGACTCAGAAGACCTAGTTCTCATGAATCTCTCTACATTTTCATATCTGTATCTGTGCAACCATCACTTCTCCCCTAGAAAACTGTATTATACCACGAACTCTATCTTCCTTTTAGCCCTTCTCTATATTGAAGCCAGAATGAATTTTTTAAAACTCAAATCTGGTGATAAAACCCTTCTGCAGTTTCCCATCACTCTTGGAATAAAGACAAACCACTTCGATGGTTCTCAGTGTTCCCGTGGTCTGGCACCCAGCAGCTCAGCTTCATCTTGTGTCTCTTTCTCACACCGGCCTGCCTGCAGGAGTTTACCCCTTCCTCATACAGAGCCTGGTCCCCACTTTCCCCCGCTCTGCCCAGAATTTGCTGTTGTTCCCTGCTCTTCATTTAGTTCATGTTGACTCATCCCCTAGCTCCCATTCACTTAACCCTTCCTCCCTTCGCTTTCACGATCCAGTCCTCTCATCAGATCGTTGCACTCATTTAAACCGTGAGGGGTTTTTGTTTTGTTTTAGAAATTGTTTATTGTTGGAGCACCTATCACTTCGATAATTATGTTTATTTTTGTGATTTTTCTCATTAACTTCAGATTGTACGTGCCATAAAT